GATCCGTTTGTTAAGGCATCTGTTGAGTTTGTTAGTATTTGTTAACTGTTAGTTAGTTATGAATTAGGCTTAACTTAGTCATAAGAATGGATTACAATTTGTAATTGGCCATAAATATATATAATAAGGATTGCTCTGGAATTGATTATTGATTGATGAATAAACAAGCAGATCTCTTCCTCTCTTCCTCTTATTCCCTTCCTGATTCTCCTTCTTGAATATGTTTTACTTAATTCTTCCTCTGATTCTTCCTTCTGAATTTTGGATCTATCATTGTCCAACAGAGGAACTGCCAAAAATCAGTGGAATCTACAGAAACGGAAGAACAATTTAACAAGAAGTTTATCTTTCTTCCCAGCTCGTCGATTCAACTAATTTCCATTGGTATTATTGCCTCGTCTCATTATCTCTTCTTTTCCACCACCTCTTGGATTGGTTAGGGGGTTTGGTGTCTTAAGTGCTACAGACGACCATATATAGCAATCTAAGAAAGAAAAAGAACTGCAACGGATCATCATAATTGGCTGTGGTAAAGGGAGGCAGTTCTGCCTCGTTTGCTATCTAAATGATGAAACTGTGTAATTTGCTCTAATATACCGTCATATTTCTCTCTTATTACCAAAAAAACAAAGAACATAGTGGGGCACAGAACTCCCACTTTTGGATTGAATGTCAGTGTCACGGTCCAGATCACTTAGATCCAATTGAGCTAAGGCATGCTAAAAACACTTAAAAATGGGTTCAATTGGGTACCCAATCCATTTGTAGCAAGATTATTGGAATTTTTTAATTTTAATTTTTAAAGAGACATCTCTAATCCTACTCAAGAATAGGATTAATTTGAAGAAACCGGTGTTAAAGCTCTAATATTCACCATCAATGTCACTTCCGCTTAGCTTTGTATGCTTGTCTTGAGCTAGGATGAGTTGTCAAATTATCGTTGAATTGGCACGGAGCTAGCATAGTGCTCCAATTGTATTGAAGAATTTTTCCTTATTTCTTCTTATAGTAATGTTATAATTATAATAAATTTCAATAATGCATAAAATTATAAATTTATAATTATAATTTAATATTAAATAAAAATATATATACCATTTTTAATTTTTAAATTAAATTAGAGTTGTAATATTAAATTATATTATTTTATTTAATTAAAATTTAATTTAAAAATTAAAAATTTATCTTATTAAATATTAATCTTTAAATTTAAAAATTAATT